ATGTTATCAAAGTTACTGAATGAAAGTATTAAAATGGTTTAAAGCAAACAAATCATGAAATTTTTCTGCAATCCTTCAAGTCAAAGAACTTTTTTGTACAGTATTTTGTGGCAGATTTATTTTATTTGTAGATTGTGGTGTACACACACACACACACACACACACACACACACACACACACACACACAAGGATAGAAGCTTCTGAGTGCAGACTAATGCATTTTTTTCCAACCTTAGGTCCCCAGATATTGTTGAACAATTCCCAGATTTCTTATTGTGCCTGAAAATCCTGGGAGCTGCAGTTCAGCAACTCCCACAGGCTTATAATACTAGTCCTTTAGGATTTTGTGTACATCCTGGAAAATCAGAAACCATCTGTGACAATATAATGAACATATACATGAAAATGTTTGGGGAGAAAATTCATTTTTATTTTCCCAATTGACACAGGACGGATTTAACGCCACCGTCCTGTTATAAGAATACAGTCACTTCATCAAAAGTCTATCAATTAGAGTAGATGCAAGGACAGTTTAGCCTCAAGGTAACAAATGAATACAATTTACTTTTTCATAATATGATCAAAATGAGGGGGGACACTTGATTCTCAGCCAAATTCAAAACAAGCCATTAATCTGAAAAGTTATTTTTTAAAAAAAAACTGGATAAAGACTGTTCCGATTAACATAATAGTGATTTAAATCCTTAACTGAAAAAAATGCATTAAATATAAAAATTCCCATTGAAACTACTTCAAAAGAAAATGCAAAATAAAAATAAAGCCAAAATAGTTGTTGCCATGTTTTAAGAGATAATCTCTTTCTTTAATCAGTTCCATTTCTGTAAAAGACAGTCCGTAAAAAAGCCTTTATCTACCACTATTATACATTAGGATTTAACAGTTAACTAAAATATACAGCTTGTCCCTTAAAATGGCCACAGTGCCAGAGGACTGGAGGATAGCACATGTCACGCCAAAGGAGGGGGGAGCAGGGACACACAACTTTTCCGGGTGGTGAAGACCAGAAGGGATTGTGAAGAGCTCCAGAAGGATCTCTCCAAACTGGGAGAATGGGTGGCAAAATGGCAAATGTGTTTCAATATATGAAAATATAAAGTAATGCACATAGGGGCAAAAAATCAAAACTTTATTGATCAGCTGATGGCTTCTGTGCTGTCCGTGACGGATCCGGAAAGAGATCTTGGTATGCTGGTGGACAGCTTGACGAAAGTCAACCCAGTATGGAGCAGCAGTGAAGAATGCCAATTCCATGCTAGGTATCAATAAAAAGGGGACTGAAAATAAAACAGCCAACATAATGCCATTGTACAAAATGATGGTAAGGCAGCACCTGGAGTCCTGTGTACAGTTTTGGTTGACGCACCTCAAAAAAGACATAGTGGAACTGGAAAAGGTGCAGAAGAGCGACTAAAATTATGACTCGACTGGGGCACCTCCCTTATGAGGAAAGGCTACTGCATTTGGGGCTCTTTAGTCTACAGAAAAGGCACCTGAGGGGGGACATGATTGAGATGTATAAAATTATGCAGGGGATGGATAAAGTGGATAATGGAAATCTCTTTTCCCTCTCACGCAATACCAGAACCAGGGGACATCCACTCCAATTGAGTGTTAGAGTGGGGACAAAAGAAAATATTTCTTGACCCGGCGTGTTGTTAGTCTGTGGAACTCCTTGCCACAGGATGTGGTGATGGCTTCTGTCCTAGATGCCTTTAAAGGGGGATTGGTCAGATTTCTGTAGGAAAAGTCAATCACAGGTTACAAGCCATGATGAGGATTTATAATATCCAGGCTTAAAACGAAGGTACTTCAGAATGCCAGATGCAAGGAAGTGGTATCAGTAGACAGGTTATCTAGTTGTCTTGAGTGCTCCCAAAGGCATCTGGTGGGGCCACTGTGAGATACAGGAAGCTGGACTAGATGGGCCCTTGGCCTGATCCAGCAGGGCTCTTATATTCTTAACGCCAACTGGTTTTACTAGAACCTTTCCCCGGATTTTAAAATATTAGATGGGTTATCAACCGTCCCTAAATCCAACAGCAAATCCCATCAAGGGTAGACCCATTGAAAGTAAATTGCATTGATTCAATGGGTCCACAGTAATCAGGACTAAACTGGATTTAGGTCCTTGTTTCACATTCACCATTATTACCTCTATGGTTTATGTAACATTCATGGCATCTGTAACTCTAGAACAAAGCCATTGTTCTTAATATAAACTCAGTGAAGGTTGCAACTAGTTGTACTGACTGGTTAGTATGTAATGTCAGATTACATGAGGGATACATAGGTTCATGTTCTCTTGTTTCCTCCCTGTATCCTAAGTATAAAATCTATTTTTGTAACAGAAAATTATGGGGTGTCATATTCAAACTAGTGAACTATGGTTTGTGAGTTGTCACCACTTAAGCCTAATGGCGTATTTGTTACTGGCTACTTCAAAAGTTGTCCCACATAACTTGGTACTTTTCTCCAGATGGACAAATCCCATAACAGAGTTGTTATTGGCTTGGGAATGTCTGGGAACTCAGGCTGGAGAAGACTGGCTGTCCTAAATTCTCAGAACGTATCACAAACTGTTGTCACTGGTCTGCATCACTCTTCTATCTCCTTAGGTTTCTGCTTCCTAAACATTCACTTGGATCAGTTTGGAAGTAGCAATTGTATTTACAAAAAAAAGCACATTATAAATATCTTAACCTAGTAGTGTAAGGCAAATGCAATGAAGTGAAGGTATCGTATTTGTTTTGGATTTGCACTCTGTACATGCACTGAGTTAGTATTATCATACGACTTTACATCTTTCTTCTAAGCTCTTTGGTTTCTGCTTATAAATACTAGTCTGGCTTGACATGAAAAGATTACCTTGGAGATTAAGTACTTCTCTGCTGGATCATATGGAACAATGGATTTACTGGAAAGGAAAGTTGCAATCTTAGACCCTCCAATCTAGGAATGTGATCCACTTAATTCAGTTAAATCCTACTGAAATCAGTGAGACACCTGGTTGAGTAGTCACAAGAACAAGGCTTCAGAAAAACTTTTAGAATATTTTTAAAGTAACATTGAAAACAAAGTTTAGGGTTAATCTCATTTCTATTATCTCTGATTTAATAAACACATTTCTGTTGATGAGTCATCTGCAGTGTATAGTGAATTAATAAAAATTATCAACTATTGCTTAGGAACCAAAAGCTGTTAATTTTATTACAGTACTAAAACATCTGTCAGCAAAGAGCGCAACTGCAAACATATTTACTCACAATTCTTACTGATTTCAGTGGGATATGAATGAGCACTGGATGAGTGATACCCAAGAATCTAAAAAGATCACTATCATTGAGGTATATCATAAACCTAAACGGCTTGGGCCCTGGATACCTGAAGGACCGCCTCCTTCCATATGAACCTACCCGGCAGTTAAGATCTAGTCAGGGGGCCCTTTTGAAAGAGCCGTCCCTTAAGGAGGTAAGAGGGACGGCTTGTAGACAAAGGGCCTTTTCGGCAGTTGCCCCCAGACTATAGAATGCCCTCCCGACTGAGATTCATCTGGCGCCGACGCTGATGACATTTTGGCGCCAGGTCAAAACCTTCCTGTTCCAGAAGGCTTTTAATTGAAATAATATTAGCTGTGGGTCTGATGGCAATTTTAATTGTATCTTAATTGTATTTTAATCAAACTTCCAATTACTGTAAGCTGACAATATGAAACAGTTGCATGGTGAATATCCAAGCCCTATACAGCTTGGGTCCAGGCTACCTGAAGGGCCGTATCTCCCCGTATGCGCCTTCTCAGCGATTAAGATCAGCAGAGGAGACTCCTCTCTCGGTCCTATTGCCAGCACAAGCACGGCTGATGGGCACACGGGAGAGGGCCTCCTCGGTGGCAGCTCCCAGGCTATGCAATGCTCTCCCTTGGGAGATCAGGATGACCCCTTCCCTGTTATTCTTCCAAAAAAAAAGCTAAAGACCCATCTCTTCAGGCAGGCTTTTAACAGTTAAAACTGAATACCTGAACCCCATTTTAGCAGATAATTTTAATGTTTTTAAGTTTTAATCCTTTAATTGTATTTTAAATCATATATTGTTTAATTTATATTACAGTGGTGCCTCGCAGTGGTGCCTGTTAATTCGTTCCAGTGAAATCGCTGTAGAACGAAAACATCGTAAAGTGAAATTAAAAAGCCCACAGAAACGCATTAAAACCCAATTAATGGGTTCCTATAGGCTTGAAACTCACCGTCCAGCGAATATCCTCCATAGCGCGGCCATTTTCGCTGCCCGTGCAGCGAGGAATCCGTCCCAGAAAACAGTGAGTGGCCGTTTTTTTAACCCGGTGGCCATTTTGAAACCACCGATCAGCTGTAGGGAAATCGTCATTTTGCGAGAACCTGTTCCCGAAACAGGGAACCGATCAATTCCCCAATAGGAAACATTGTTTTGCAACTGTTCCCGAACCAGGGAACCGATCAATTTCCCAATAGGAAACATTGTTTTGCAATCGCAAACATTTTGTCGTAATGCAATTTCGTCGTAAAACGGAGTGCTCGTCTTGCGAGGCACCACTGTATAATATTTAACTTACTGTTTTTAAAATTGTGTGAATTTTAATGTTGTGAGCCGCTTTGGGTCCCTTGTTGGGAGAAATGTGGCGTATAAATAAAACTAATAAAATAAAGAAACTGTGTAGCACAACTTGAAGATAATGCAAATTCTACATGCATTTTTCCTACCTGCAACATCACCATTCAGGGAGACACTAGTGATCCATCAGGATTGATTCTTCCACGGCTAGCCAGTTTTTAACAGGCTGCTTTTAACAGGAATTCCATTTTATAGACTTAATTTTTTTTTAATGATGAACATGAAGTTTCCCCCCAACTGAAAATCATTACAACCACTACCAACATTTGTGGGAAATGTCTTTGCTAATAAAAGGGAGAACCATTAGAAAAGAATGAGATGAATTCATTGAGGCCTATGATTCAACTTTATTTCAACTCTATACAACTTTGTCTTTTCCCACAGCTGCTGTTCTGACTGAAAACAAACAAAGTGGGCAATGATCAGGTTCAAGGGAAAGATAGCACTAGAACATAATTGATAGCACCACTTCCATTGAGTACTGAGGTTTATAAATATAATGTTAAGCTTCATGGCAATTATCTTCTCCAAAAATTATGTCAATTAAAAAAAATCAGTACTTTATTTTGTAGAGAGAAGTTTTAAATGTGTAAAAAACTACATTATTAAAACCATCAGTTCTCTCAGGTACATGAATGGGCTCAGAAATAAAGATGCTGAAGTTTCAAGGTGAATTTTTGCTGTTCATTTAGGAACCCACATATTTCCGTGTGTATCTGGAGCTCTAGTGTAGGGAATATTCCAAATCCACGGGCGATCTGCAATGAGAGAAGGGGCAATATCACACGAAAGATACAAGGAAAAGCGAAGTGAAAAATTAAACCCTAGGGAAGCCTTTGAAAGCTTCAAAAGGGGACAGAAGAGACTTCCCAAGATCAACACATGTATCAAGCCTAAGACATTAGAAAGAATCTTGCCATTTTGGAGAGAAGGGTATGTGTAAGATAGGAAAGGACAAAGAACACGTGTGCATTTTGAAAGAGGGAGCAAGCAAATTCATAGGTGGCATAGAAACCTGTGACAAGGTAGTCTCAATGTACTCTACCAAACATATGATCAAACAGTGGTCCATGTTGATTTTTAAAGGTTATTAACTTAAATGCTATATTAGGAAGCTGAATCATCCATGATACTGTGGACATTCAAGATGATACTTAATAGGCCTATGTATAAAGTGTGCCATTTATGTACTGCACCATAGCACTTGCAGAATTCTCCAAGGAGTTTCCAATTTAATTATGCAGTTCATACACTGCTCCCTCCTCCAGTAACCTGGGTACCCAATTTACCAACCTTGGAAGGATGGAAGGCTGAGTTGACCTTGAGCTGGCTAAGGATTAAATTCAGGTCACGAGCAGAGTCTTGACGGCAATACTGCAGTTTAACTACTGCACCATGAGGCTCCGTTTCAACTGAACCAATTGCATACGAACTGAGTCAAATGACAGAATCAACTTGCCTGGGCCACTGAAAGGCAGTTTCTGAGCTAACAGGGCCCGGTTTCACCAACACCAAGAGATGGCGTCAGCAGTTACAGGTGCTGCAGTTTCAACAGACAGACTGCAGCAACAATAAGCTTCACAGAACTATTTTGTCTTCCGTGCAGAGGTGTGAATATGGTAAATGTCCATAGGCACTTGTGAGTGCTCTGATTGCAAATTCTTTAACTTATTCAGATTCTGTAGATAAGGTACAGCTGACAATTATTACAGTTTTGTATCCTCGTAACAAGGGTACATCAAGGGCAAGGAAAATTTCCCCAACAGACTTGTGCTGCTCCCCTACCAGGCTTACAGATCTCTCTTCCCAGAAACTCCTCTGCAAATGCTCTTATACTCTTTTACTGCTTATCATCAAGGTGAAGTTAAAAAAAAATTTTTTTGAACCTCCTCCTCATGATTGTCCTACAGGCAGGAAACAGCTGAGCAGCAGGAAAGAGTGGGCATGGCTTTATAGCTCCACTGCAGATGGACAAAGAGACCATTTATTCTTCTTCATCAGCAGCTTGCCACATTCCTATGATTAGCACCACAAAAGGGAAGCTTTCTTTGCAGCACAACTGTAGGTTTATTCAGGAAGTAACAGAGTTCTAAGTGTGCTCAAGGAGAAAGAGCTAGCTCTGCCATTCTCCTTTTCTTGCAGTTTTAGCACTGAGTCTAAGAGATCTGAGGAACCGCTGGGAGGTTCCTGCTTGCCTACCATCTCTACAGGTGAGCAAGTAACTCGGATTCTCCAGCCTTTGTGCCATCTAGTTCAGCTTATATATGGGCAGGTGCCTTTCCTGTTCAGACTTGACACTGGAGCCATGGAGGCAGTATTAAGAGAGGAAGGTGGGGCTGGGCACTCCCCTCTAAGCAAATGCAGAATGCCAGAATTTGTAAAGTATTTTGTGAATGGCACTAGACCAGTGTTCCCCAACCTTGGGCTTCCCAATGTTCTTGGACTTCAATTCCCCGAAATCTTTGCCAAGAGAGGTGATGATAAAGGCTTCTGGGAGTTGCAGTCCAAGAACATCTGGAGGCCCAAGGTAGGGGACCACGGCACTAGACCAGTGGTTCTTAACCTTGGGTTACTCAGGTGTTTTTAAACTGCAACTCCCAGAAACCCCAGTCAGCACAGCTGGTGGTGAAGGCTTCTGGGAGTTGCAGTCCAAAAACACCCGAGTAACCTAAGGTTAAGAATCACTGCACTAAACAATTCACCACTAGCCTGACTCCTGCTGCTGGGAAACATCTCAACTGCACAAGTGGGCTCGTGATTGAGACATGTTCTAGCACTTTGCTGCAGCACATTACACAAACCTTTTGCAAAACCCAATAGGACTTTGGCCTATATGTTTACTGAATAATTGACACTTTGCCCATATCTTTAATTCATATTTTTCTAAGAGGTATAGAGTATACTGAGGCACAATACAATTCTCTTTCCCTTGTCAATTTGGCCAGCATTCTAGCTACCTTTTTGTCATCTCCTAAAGAGCTGTCAAAGATACATCTCACATTGAGAACATTATGTTTTGCTAAGATTTTATACTTCAGGTTCCTTGGGACATTTCACGGTACAGAACCCTGTGGCTCTTTGACAGCTGCATGAACCTTTTTTTTTTTTTGCTGGAAACCAGAAAAACAGTAGGGAAAAGGAAAGCTTGTAAGTATTTCACTGAAAAGTATCTCAATGATCTTACATTTCCATGTACCAGTCTTTGAAAAACTATCTACTACCAGCATTTTAATGCATATGAAGACATATTAAATCCAACTGAAGCAGCAGTAGCAGCAATCCTTCACATTTCCCTGCTTTCTCTAACCAAGCTGCTAATCGTTGCTTGCAAAATTGACACATCATTTCATCTTAAGTATATTAATCTACACCACAGTGAATAAAGTGACATTTTATTATTTCAGACCGAATAGAGCACTGTTCTCCCTGTAGGAAAAAAGAAAAACTCAAATGCACATAATAGGAAGCTAAGAAATTATGTCTCCTACAAATGCAGCAATTTGCAACGATTTAGAGATGGAAAGCCGTGACAGATAAATTTCTGAACTGATAGAGTTACAATATTATATGCTGCCTAGCAGAAAATGTGAGTCAGCTTCTTTCATAAAGACTTCCAGGAAATGGAAGACTGCTCAACTTGAGTTCATTAAGAATGATACTGTTTGCTCCAACAGGATTGTGAACTGCAGCTTGTCTCAAGCAGAAGGTTCACTACCATTTCTTTTTGGTTTTAGTTTCAAAGCAGGCAATGTGGGAATGTGTATGTGGGGGTAATCACAGACCAACTGGCAGCTCCCGGTCCTAAGAGAGGGGTGTAAAAATTCTAAAACATGAGGCAGAGAGCCTTGAGACTGCAGCCTCGAGAGTACTGACATCAACTCTCATAGACATGCACCATCAGTCTTTGGACGTCTGTGTATAATTTTTCATGAAGGGGATTGTACTAAGCCTGAAAAAATGATTTTTTTTCTATAAAAGCTTGCAATTTGTTTTATTTTTAGTGGTCAATAAAAGGTATCACCCACTCTTACATTTGTTTAATCATAGGAACCACACAGCCTTTTCCTTAATCTTTTTGCAAAAAGATGCAACTCTGGAGGTCTAATATATCCTATCCTGGTGCATGAAGTCACGGCCCCTTCCCTAATTTCATGAAAGCTATGGCAGTACAAATGGGAAATGTCCTTGATGGGAGAACTTGTCAAAATGACCTATAAGGCATATAGAGCAAATTATACAACATCAGACAACCAAGGCAAACAATAAGCAGAGGAAAGGCAAGTAGAGGAGTTACAGTGCCTTCTCAGAACACCTCTCAACACGTATTCTGAGGTGGAATGCAAGAGACCAGCATCCATCAGGAATTTTAGAACTGATGTAACTGATGTTGCAAGGAGAAGGCACATGTCAGCTGGAGCCGGGGGGGGGGGGGNCACTTTAAAAGAGACTTGTCTGAATCTGTCTCACTGAGAGGCAAAAACTATGCACAGGGTTGAAATTCTGATTAGCATTAGTTGTGCAGAAGGACTAGCAATCAAGCAGAATTCAAACCTTTCAACCCACAAAGCTTCTAAGCTTTACACCAGACCTTCTAATTGCTGGGCCACAGGAGCTGCTGCTGGCCACCCCTGAAAGCAAAAGAACACTTGCACATTGTATGTGGACACAGATAAACTCCATGATGATAAAATGTTCTCAACACTGTCGCATCTTGACATGCCTTTCTTAGCATTTGGGGATGTCCCCAGCAAACACAAGAGGCATGGTGGAGCTGTGGGTTAAACCACAGAAGCCCCTGTGCTACAAAATAAAAAGACCAGCCGTCCTAAGATCGGATCCACATGATGGAGTGAGCTCCCGTTGCTTGTCCAGCTCCTGCCAACCTAGCAGTTAGAAAGCATGCAAATACAAGTAGATAAATAGGTACCACCTTGGTGGGAAGGTAACGGCATTCCATGTCTGCGCTGGCCACGTGACCACAGAAACTGTATTCAGACAAATGCTGGCTCTACAGCTTGGAAATGGGGATGAGCACCACCCCCTAGAGTCGGGCACGACTGGACTAAATGTCAAGGGGAACCTTTACCTTTACCAGCAAACACAACAGTGATCAGCACAAGAGAAAGAGAATTGCTCTAAGAATGGCTGCTACTTAAGCTGCTATTGTTTTGCTCTCTGTTTTTTTGCTGCTGGAAAGGAATGTACTGGTGCTAGTTTAGCAACTGTCCAATGCAATGATCAAATATCTCACCTGTTTATGTCTTAAACTAATGTATAGTATTTATGGTTTGCTTGTTGTATTTGTGTTCCGCCCTTCTTCCAAAGAACACAAAAAGAACACTTAAGTGAGGGAAATAATGACCTCAGCACAATTTGAAATGACTTCTTCATATCCACATTCACTTATGAAGAGACCTGGACTCATTACTAGAATTGGTCTCTTTTGGAGCAGCCCACATAACCTCCTCCCCACATTTTACAAGAGCTAGAATTCTGTGTTGTTTCCGCCCCCACAACTCATTTGAACAAAGAAAGAAAGTAAGTTTTATTCAAATGTGGTATCTATTCTTTTTCCTGCATTTACACAAAACATCTTACCTTTAGTTTCATACTTTTCTGGGGGCAGATCATAAGGTACAGGAAATGATAGCACTGAACTATCAGAAAGCATGTTTTCCTTCACTTGGAAGTAACCTGTATCCAAGCCCTGTTTTTTTAAAAAAATTGCAGACAGAGAATAGTTATTTGATTCAATTAAACTTTTCCTTTCATTAAGGAACTCAGAAAAATAGCAAACACATCTGCATAGTAAGTTCATATCTTCATGGTAGGCTGCCTCGTTAATATATTTATCTTATTTTTACCCCACATTTCTCCTTAAAAAGGACCCAAGGAGGCTTACCTCATTAAAAGACAATATTTAAAGCTAAAAACACTAAGTAAACAAATACTAAAAAGGGTCAAACAAATATCACACTAAAAAACAGTAAACAAAAGCAACACCAAAAACACAGTTAATACAGTAAGGTACAACTATCCATTAAAAAAAACCCCTCTCAGGCAGCCAGTCACTTGCCTGAAGAGAAGGGGTTTTGCCTGCTTGAGAAAAGACAGCAATTTCCCAGAACTAAAGAGAAGGCCTTTCTATCAGACTGGTTGTGGCTTGTCTTGCTCAAACTGGTGAAGGCCCCATAAGGCTAAAGTAATACTTCACTGGCTCTATGATACAGATGTGAACAACATTATGAATGTATGCTTCAGTGGCAAGATCCAGTAAACCTTACATATACAGTGGGTTTCAAGATCTCTCACTACCATTTATCTCCCCTGCAATTCATTGGCAAGCGCTGAACTCAAAAGACTCTGAATGAGAGCCAGTATGAGGGCTAGAGCTGGAAAAAACATTAATAGCCTTTTCAAGTACTTTGTATGTGCATACAGCTCTCCCTGGTTCCTGTTGCAGCTTTCATCCAAACACACATAATGAACAAGACTACCGCCCTTCAAGTGGAAATCCAGACATCTAATTGTACTATGATTTGACCCATGGAGGGCTGCTTCCCCCCGCCCCCCCATTATTTTGAGTCATTATAAAAAACTCAAGGAAGAATTGAAGAAGCATAATAAAGATATGAAAGAAAAAAGAAAGAAGTAGAAGCAGGAAGAAGCAAAGACATGTACGCTGCCGTGAGCTCACCAGGGGAAAGGTGGGTTGTGAAAGTAACAAATAAACTAAAAATAAATGTGTATTTTACAGACAATACTGAACTGTGATTGGTGAAAAACAGAAACATCCTATTTCACCCCTTACAACTACAAGTGTAAGTGGGGATGCAGAAGCCCAAATCCGGCACACAGCTGTTTTAACACCACTAAACCAACTGTTCCCTCTTGGTTATAAACCGTAATATGGGGAAGGGGCTTGACTATGTCAGGGAAGTCAGGAGCAATGCCATCAAGAGGCTGGATTCTTGTGAACCTAGACTCCTAACAGCATCGCCCAAAGCGGAATGGCCAAAGCTGAGATACCAGGCAAAGAAAGATCCATCCTGTTCACAAATCAGTGGTCATCATCAGCAAAAGGAAACTAATGGGGTGAAGAAATTATTTATATTTACTAAATACGAGGCAGTGTAGAGTTAGACAAAGGTTAGATGAAAAGCAGACCTGGGGATCACATGTGTTCTCCAAATGTGCTTTTGCATCCCATAGTGTTCAAGCAGATCTGCTCTTTTCCAACAAAAAAGGTAAACTGCTTTTCCTGGAAGTCTCCAGAAATGGCAATTAATTATAAAATAGATCATAGACCCTCACCCCGCTCCTATTTAACATACATGCACAAAAATATTTTTTTTCCATAGTCAGCGTTGGACTTCCAGCCAATTCTGGTGCCTTTTCTGACCTCTTTGGAAGCCTGTGCTGCCCAGAGAATTTTCCAAAGTGAAGGAAATCGGCCCCAGCTGTGCTGAGATTGCCTATGCCTTGCTTACAAGAACTCACAAATTCAGATGGCAAGAAGAGGACTCCCAGCTCATAGGAACGGATCATCAGCTGGCTGCCATTTTTCTCAAAAGCTCCCCAAGCAGCCTTGGAAAGATTGGCACTGGAGAAAGAGAGAAGCAGTGGTTCTGTTAGAATTGTGTTGTGGGATGCTCGCAGCAAACATTCCTATGCCCAGAGTGCATAGTTTTCTAAATATTCTCAGATCAGAGAAGTGACGTCCTACGTACTGTTAATTATTGAGGTTTGGACTCAGTCCTGATTCTATAGAAGAAAACAAATAGCATCACCCACTCTTCAAACTGAAGGATAGAAGAGATACTCTTCTGTGTGACTTAAACAAAAAAGAAGTGTTGAATGGCCACCAGAAAGGTTTAACTTGTATTTTAAACAAAGAAAACAAGGGCAAAGTCATCACTTCAGCAGCTTTACTGCAAATAAAAAAAGGGGAGGGAACAGAAGACTTACCTTGTAACTAGAAACCATGCAATCTTCTGGAAGTCTGGAGATACTCTCATGTAAGTCTTAATGTGTGGCATTGCATGGCTACGACCTGAAGTTTCAGCTGACCATTTGCTTAAGTAAAAAAAGAAAAAGTTGAAAATGGGGGTAGCTGCAGGTTAAATGGTAACTGATGCAGTTTCAGATAGGGATTACCTATGTGTGGTAGCCATCGATAGAATACATTTTTTAAAAAAAATTTATAATTAAGGCCTGCTTCATATGTAATAGAGTAGACCAACTATGGCATAGCTCCTCCTGATTAGTACAGGTGGTTTTCTGTACAGATTCAGCATCTGTGGTTTATCTGTGGTCTACTGTGGCCAGAAAAGCTATACAAATAGGAAGGCCTTGTAGCCTTTCTTCCAACTTCTTGTATGTCATATAGGGTTCACTAGTATTTGCGGTTTCAGGGATCCTTGGCAGATCTTACCACCCATGGATATACTACCCATGGATATATAAGGGTGGGGGAATGTTGCACTGTGTAAAACAGCACAGTAATAATTTCAATACACATTTTACTTTAATAAGTGACCTGTATTGTGCAGTACTGGCTTTGAACAATGGCTGGACACTTAAGTGGCAAAGATATTACTGTTTACCTCTTGAGAAGTGTGAGGTATCAAGATCATATTCAGCCTATCTAGAAAACAAAGCTGCACTAGATCACTGCACTGAGAGTGATGATGAGACTGGTTTGTGGACTGAATATGCATGGTAATAATTTGGCAGGATCCAAAGGATGGGGGAGGACATATGGAACACCATGAATACACCAGGGGTCTTTTCAGTTCTCCATTCAGAGTAATCACACATGCAGCCCTGAGCCACTCTTCATCATCATTTTAAAGGTGCAGAGCTGGAAGGGACCCTATGGATCATCAAGTCTAGCGCCTGTCAAAGTGGCACAGTGGGGAACTGAACTCTCTCTCTGGCTCGGTATCAAGATATCAAAACTAGACATGGAGGCTTTGTATTAGTATAGGAGTCTTGCTGGCACAGGTGGCTGGCTCGATTACCACCCACCTCCAGAACCTGCTGGACCACTTACTGCATAGTGCACATGGCTGAGATCATCTCCTGCATCCCAATTGTGGAAATATCCCAGGTGCCACAGTCCCACCTCCCTGCTTGCCTGGTCAGTCTGGCAAGGGGGTAAGAGGACAAGTCTACCTGCTTAGCCACTTAGTGGCTAGGCAAGCAGGGGGGTGGGAATGTGGCAGTCATACTACTGCCACAATTGGGATGCAGGAGATGACACTGGCCACACACAGTGTGCACTATGCAATGTGGTCCAGTGGGTTCTGGTGGTGGGCAGTAATCAGGCCAGCCACTTGTGCCAGTAGGCTTCGTATTCATATACAAATACGAAGTCCCCATATCTAATCAAAACCACTGAGCTATCCAACAGTTCAATACTGGGAAACAGATGGTGGGATGCAAATGAAAAAAAAATTGTTAAGTACTCTCCTTCTACTGACATGGCAGTTTTTAATGAGCACATGGTCAATTTTGGATTTCTGAACATGGTTTATTACACCTTTGTTCTGCAATGAGTAGTTTCATTAGAATCAAATACATTGCTTTAGAAACCTACAACAAAAACTTAAGAGGAAGTCATCGTGCTACTCCTTACCACTGTCAGACAACATGAAATTGTATATCTACAGAAACTGATTAAAAAAACAGCAGTATTTGAGAGATAATAAAATAAGCAGAACTCTTCTTCTAGGGAAGCTTTAAAATGATATATTAAATCTTAACTGACAACATATCCAATAAGAATTGAACTTTTAAGTGACATTTCAAATTACAATTTCCAGAGAAGAATGCTGGGATGAATTTGTTAGTCTTCAGGGTTTTGCTATCTGTTATTAAATAGAGTTCCATTAATCATAAACAGGTAATTTCACTTACTGGAAATAAGTGTGCAACCAAAGCTGTTTCTGTGCTGTTTGTATACTATATGGAAGAGACCCACCAGCTTAAATGGAAAGAAAGCAACTATTATTCACAATTAAGTGTACCACTAAAATTGTATGTTGCTAAATAACAGAAACACAATTCATCTACTTTTTACCACCAAATTTCTACTGCAAAAAACAATACTTCCCACTATGTATGTATTAAAAGGAACAGATTTAATATGATTCTTCCTGGTGATATACACTGCAACCTTTTAAAAGAATACTCTAAAGTATTTATTTTATAACTGCCGTTTGAGCATAAACTACCTTGCTGCACCTTATTAAAAGGTTGGATGGTGGGACAGCTAAATGGTTTTAATAATAAATACTACTAGCATCTAAAAACCATTTCCAATACATCCCTTGTTTATTCTAATATTGCTATACTTCTTTCAACACTGTACCCAAAGGTAGATTTGGTTTTTTTTTTACCTGGATAACCTTCTAAGCTCTGTCTCACATTTTCCACAGTTGGGTAAACCTAAAGAAGAAAAATACATTAATAAACTATTATTTATTTAAAATATTTCTATCCTGCCTTTCTCCCCAAAAGGACCCAAGGTGGCTTATATCATTAGAACATTATTTTATTTTAAAACTAAAAGCAATAAGTATACAATTATTTAAAAAGAATTAATCAAGTATTACATTACAATGGCAACTAAGATCAATATTAAGATGCATTTAAAACAACAGAGCACAACAGTCCATTTAAAAGCCCTCTCAGACCACCACTGATTAAGGAAAAGCTCATTAAGGAAGAGAAATGTCTTCATCTGCTTGTGGAAGGAAAGCAAAGATGGAGCCAGCCTAGCTTCCCACAGGAGTGGGTTCCAGAGGCTGGAAGCACCAACAGAGAACGCCCAAGCCTTAAATGTACCTTGGACAGTAGTTATTGCCACCTTGTAAAGATGTTAGGCACTTTATTAAGTTCATTTATTTGGTCAACTGATATGGAAAAGAAAGGCTTAAAACCAACATGGTGCTGTAACTTTGTTGTTCGCACAAACTGGTACTTAATCCTCAGCAGATTTTGTAGGGCCCACAAGGCTTCCAAAAAGATTGCACTCCCTTGTTCTGGAGACAGAAGGCTTTCTATCAATAGAGCACACTTTAGATTCCAGGCAAAAACACTGGATTTGATTCAGACACAGTCTTTCTTAGACAAAACCACTGAAAACTATGAGATTTTAGTCTTGAGTTAGTTGTCCTACTGACATCAGTGGGTGAATTCCAAGTATGCCTAACTCTGAAATCCAATGCTTCAGTTAATTTTGAGAAGACCTGTAGGATTAATTATGTCTTTTAATAGCTAATAACTAAAGAAAGTAACATAAAATTGAGTTATAAATGCTTCTATGTAATACGCGCAGAGTACAATAGTATAAGTGCAAGGTAGCAGTTTTCAGAGAGGGAGCCTAGTTAGTCTGTTTCAGCAAAAACAAAAATATTCTGGCACTTTTAAGGCTAACAATTTTATTTCAATGTGAACTTTCTTGGATCAAAATCTGCTTCTTCAGACTTATCTATCACACTTGGTCTCACTACCATCCCCACACCATGTACACGGTATATAAATCTGTGATGCTGGTGCTGTGCTCCAGTTTCTCTAGGGAACTGGATTGTGCTCCAATAAAATTTACATTAATATTTGTTAGTCTTAAAGTTGCCACATTCCTTTGTTTTGCTTTTGTTGGTGCCATGAAAGAAACTTGGTAATGAACAAAATTCATGGTCCTTAATTAATTTTCGTCACACAGAAGACTAGGTGCTTTTAAATGGTTTCAAATGTAATACTTCAAAAGCATAAGCTAAAATGTAACATCTACGCCTAGAAAGAGTGGCATAAACATGTCAATAGAAAAAGCACTTCTGTACCTATACATAAGCAAAAATAAACAAAAAGGAACCAATACCAGGTGAATGGAAATGTCATGATTTCTTTGAATTTTTTCAGTATTTCCCAGAGAGACCAAACTCTCTCTAAATTCTGAACATAACCATTTGGACTGATCAGCTCCCAGTGATCCAATACTTGAGAACTGTCCTATTACCGGCCAAGAATCCTGATTAGGTATTTGGGTTGCATGCTCTCTCAAAATCTGTTTCAAGAAAAATTAAGAACAGCAAAAAAAGTCACCATCACTGGCTCTTCAAATGACACGGAATACCATATAGCTTATATTAGGTTACATATAATACATACACTGCTATTTAATGCAGATGTTGATTTGTACTTATTCCTCGTGCCTTTCATCTGTTAATAGCACCAGCAGAGTTTTCTAACTTATTATTTATTTTTGATAATGAAATAACATACTAGTATTTTACATATTACCTGCCATCATGCTTACAAATAGCTACTATAATAAGTATTACTAAGAGTTTCACAGATGGACATACACCCAGTCTATTTCTATTGCATATCATAAAACAAATACTAACGACGGATTCATTGTAGATAATTGTTTTGAATGTATACAATAAAACTATGATCAGGCTTACTCAGTTTTTCAAATATAATGGTATTAGCATTATTGTTATGGTATTATTAGTCACAGTAGTGTACTGAATAAAAACAACCACATCTGGAGGTATCTTATTCATTAATCAGAATGCTATGGGATAAGCTTCTCTTGACATAGTGCCTGTAAGATATCAGCCCATTTGTGCACTCATATTTCGAGCTAAATTCGTGTTGTGGATGCGGACACACAAGTCCCAATACCCAGTGTCTCACATACTCAGCAACACTGGAGATCTCTATGCACTGAATATTGTCTTTCTAGGGTCCCACATAATAAGAACTTCGTTAAGCACATAGACGGTTAGAACCTTCTTCAGAGCTTCACAGGTCTACCACAATTCCAGGCATATGGGACATTCAGTGACAAGGCTTGCATGCACACCCACATCTCTGCTACTGATTTAGCCCAACATATGAGCAGGTAAACATCTGCATAAGGTGTTCATCTATCTACAACTGCATGCCAGTGATCCCCATTGAAAGTGTAATGGTAGTCAAAAATATTTTTGGAAGAGGTGGTCTGTGCTAGCATGTCAGGCAAAAACAAACAATGGTAGCCAAAAATATTTTTGGAAGAGGTAGCCTGTGCTAGCATGTCAGGCAAAAACAAAAACAAAAGAAAAAAAATATAAAGAAGACAAAACACTGTGGCACCTTTAAAGAAAGAAAAAAAAAGAAGACAAAACACTGTGGCACCTTAAGGACTAACTGCTGTATTTTATTGTGAGGTTTTGTGAACAAGTCCACTACTTCAGACAGAACAACTTGTATTGTCTGAAGAAATGAATTTGTCCACAAAATCTCAAATTGATCTAAATAATTTAAATCAATATTAAAATTTTTAAAGATCAGATTTGTTTTGATGATTTTAATCCAAAAATTGATTTTTATCCACCATGGTTCAAATTAAAAGAATGGTGATTTAACTATCTATTAGAAAGATCGTTCTCATTATATGAATTCTTCAACACTAGAAAAGTCTGCTTTAACGGCAATTCATTCATTCATTCATTCATTTGATTACTCTGCTTTAACAGCAATTCTTTTATTTATTTGTTTGTTTGTTTGATTTATATCCTGCCTATCTGGACGAATAGACCACTCTAGGCTTGAGAGGAATAACCTTTTAAAAGTACACTTTCCACATTGGCCTGGAACTGAGCTGGATATTCTTTCAAGGCAATTTTAGGCCAAATGATTCTATGAATACAAACCTACGGAAACATGAAGAAAAAGCGACAAGCATAAAAATGCAGTACCTTTCTAAGTCTAAGATGACCCCATTTCTCTTTTTCATTGTTTTGGAATCGACCTGGAGTTGACCCAAGAAGATATACCCTACATAAAAATACACAAATAAAATGTATGTCAGTAATGCTTAAACAGGGTGTTTTACCAAAGTCCACTATCGCAGTGCTTCAGCATTGCAATGAAGACTTCTCCAAGATGTCACTTGCTTCCATCCAAGCTTTGCAGCAGTGCATGTAAAGAAAAATACTTTGTAGGAAAGTCATCACACTTTTATTTAAGGAATTGATTTTATCTGTTCCTTTCATCCACCAAGAACAATGATGAGAGTGAGACATTTATAATAATCAGCCAATGTTTATCTTCAACATTTCACAATCTGAAATAATTATGTAAAGATGTGTCTCTTTTTTTTTTTAAAAAACAGGAACAATTAAATACAACTTTTTAAAAAAAGTAATATACCTCAAAGTATCTACCTGGTTTCTGAAAGATCATGTTGCTTGATTATTTCAATCCATTCAACAAGAGTGGGAGAATTATAAGATTTCAAATAACTTATGAGGTCAGACTTAAATCTTGTATGCGATTCTCCCTCAGATGCATCAGCTCCACAGGGTAGTCTTGGATACAGAGGACTAAGCCATATTCTAGAAGATAAAAATATTAAATAACCCCAAACAGCATAGTAGTTATGATAGCAAGCTTGCATTCTGTAGTTTTCAAAAAAGATAAGAGTCACCTTTTTTAAAGAAAAATCACAGAATTCTGGTGCTTAACTTTGGAAAAGTGAGCATATTATACACATATTACGCATAAACTGCATGTTACTTCTACTTAAACAGAAATGATAAAGGCATATTATGCAGCACACCAATGCTATAAATCGTCAAAAAAAAAACCATACTGTTGATCAGAGAGGCTTAGTGGTTCTTCAACGTTCTAGAGCTCAAATGCAGCAAAAGTGACATTTTCTGTCACCACTAAATACTCCCAAATGTACCCCTTCACCTATGTCCTGCTCTGTACATACAGTCCTATTGTAAGACAACACCTGCCTTCCTTACTACACTGAAATCTGGAATATATCTTTCATTAGTGAATATTCTCTCATCAGGCACTTATGCTACAAGTAAATGTACTCTTCAAGTAATGCAATATACTCCAGTTCAGATGTTCCATCCTACATACAGTAAGACAGTAATCTCACAAGTCTGCTTCCAGTTCCACTTATACCAACTATTAGGGTAGACAATGTATACTTCCCGTATGTTCCCGATTCTACTTAAGATAGTTAAAATTGAAGAGAAGACGATTTGGATTTGAAACAGCTTTGTACTGCTTCATCTCTAATTCTTCTGTACCTGCTTCTTTAATTCTACAACTCATTCCTTTCTGTAACTGTACTGTCTTTTTCGCAGTAAGAGCAGAGATCTAACCAGCATAGGAGAGGCTGCCAATTCATCTAATCCTGAGGAAAGTTATACAGTGCAATCAAAATTTTATTCAATCAGACCATACCTGTAGATTTGCAATTATTTCAGATGCTAGAGAACCACCATAGTTTTGCCTTTTATTAAAACAAATCATCATCTGCTGTCAAGTCAATTCTGACTTATGGCAACTCTATTCAGGGTTTTCTAGGTAGAGAGGTTTGTGTACTCTAGGTAAACTTTTAGTTTTACCACTCCCTTCTTCTGGGTGCGTTCTGGTATTGTGCAGTTTGCCCAAGGCTACACAGGCTGGCTCTACTCACAGAAGGCACAGCGGGGAAATGCATTCAAAAGGAATTATTAAGAAAATGTCTCTAACCTATGACAATTATGCAAAATTTGAACAAAGCTTGAATTGCATTTACGTTTTTTAGTTATAGATTCAAAAAGTAATTAAAAATAAGTGAAACATTATATGGTAATATGCTACATTTACCTTTATGAACAAAGCCATTATACCATTGCTATACTGAAGAGACAGGTTCTGTGCTTGCTATGTAGATAAACTTTCCACATTATTGTAAAAAAAAGTTCTCTTGCTTAAAAGCCTACTATGTTTTTTTTCCAAATGAGACTCATCAAGTATAATTTCCCTCCAAGAGAGAAAAAACAGAAAAGCTGTTGAGAGAGAGATCTTATTCTCACTACTTCCTGATAGAAATGAACTGGAAGGAATACTTTATGAAGAATAAAACTTATTTGTAACATATTTGTAGCAAGTGAAGTCATAATTTATGATGCCTGTGTCTCATGCAAAGGCTGACCTAAAGAACCATCGTCAGAAGAAATTGAAGCAATGGAAATAACTAAGGCCTCACTTTTTAGATCTAAAATTACAAAATCATGCAAGACATCAACTCTCTGCAATCTTAAACTCATTACACATGATAAAAGAAATATTTAATAGCAGCTTATGTGGGGTCCAAAGAATTCTCTTCACTATGATTTCAAGGATCCTCCTCCACATGTACGTCTCTCATTCCATTTTAATAGAAACATTCTGTATATGCTGCATATTCTCTATGAAAAGGACCTTGACCTCTTTGAAATATACAAGCCAAGTTGATACACTGGCAATTACCAACATTCTTCCATGCCGAAATAGGGCCTTCTCGCCTGTTGCCCCCCAACTTTGGAATGCCCTCCCTATAGAGATCCGCCTGGCTCCAACACTCTTGGCTTTTTGGCGCCAGGCAAAGACCTTTTTGTTTAGCCAGCATTTTAATTAAACAGTATTCCCCAGCTGGCCACATGAGCAGCAGGACTTATTAATTTTAATGTTTTAAGAATTATTTTAATATATGATATTTTAAGATCATACCTGTAGATTTGCAATTATTTCAGATGCTATAGAACCACCATAGGTTTGCCTTTTATTAAAACGAATCATCATCTGCTGTCAAGTCCATTCTGACTTATGGCAACTCTATTTAGGGTTTTCTAGGTAGAGAGGTTTGTGTACTCTAGGTCACTGGTTCTTAACCTTGGGTTACTCAGGAGTTTTGGACTGCAACTCCCAGAAGCCTTCACCACCAACTGTGCTGGCTGGGGTTTCTGGGAGTTGCAGTTCAAAAGCATCCGAGTAACAAAGGTTAAGAACCACTGCTCTAGGTAAGCTTTTAGTTTTACCACTCCCTTCTTCTGGGTGCATTCTGGTATTGTGCAGCTTGCCCAAGGCTACATAGGCTGGCTCTACTCACAGAAGGCACAGTGGGGAAATGTATTCAAAAGGAATTATTAAGAAAATGTCTCTAACCTATGACAATTATGCAAACTTTGATCATAGCTTGAACTGCATTTACGTTTTCTAGTTATAGATTCAAAAAGTAATTAAAAATAAGTGAAACATTATATGGTAATATGCTACATTTACCTTTATGAACAAAGCCATTATACCATTGCTATACTGAAGAGACAGGTTCTGTGCTTGCTATGTAGATAAACTTTCCACATTATTGTAAAAAAAAGTTCTCTTGCTTAAAAGCCTACTATGTTTTTTTTCCAAATGAGACTCATCAAGTATAATTTCCCTCCAAGAGAGAAAAAACAGAAAAGCTGTTGAGAGAGAGATCTTATTCTCACTACTTCCTGATAGAAATGAATTGGAAGGAATACTTTATAAAGAATAAACTTATTTGTAACATATTTGTAGCAAGTGAAGTCATAATTTATGATGCCTGTGTCTCATGCAAAGGCTGACCTAAAGAACCATCGTCAGAAGAAATTGAAGCAATGGAAATAACTAAGGCCTCACTTTTTAGATCTAAAATTACAAAATCATGCAAGACATCAACTCTCTGCAATCTTAAACTCATTACACATGATAAAAGAAATATTTAATAGCAGCTTATGTGGGGTCCAAAGAATTCTCTTCACTATGATTTCAAGGATCCTCCTCCACATGTACGTCTCTCATTCCATTTTAATAGAAACATTCTGTATATGCTGCATATTCTCTATGAAAAGGACCTTGACCTCTTTGAAATATACAAGCCAAGTTGATACACTGGCAATTACCAACATTCTTCCATGCCGAAATAGGGCCTTCTCGCCTGTTGCCCCCCAACTTTGGAATGCCCTCCCTATAGAGATCCG